CCACACATAGCTTACAGCTTAATTGCACAACATTTATGTGACGTTTGATTAACAAGCGGATTCTCCTAAGGCTTGGTCAGTATTTAAAAACTTTCACAATGGCAGTGACTCAGAGTCAGGGTCAGATAAGTGGTAGCATGTCATGATCAGGACATTCTGAGTCAAAGGAAAATGACTTGACTAAATAAGTGGAACACAAGACACGTCAAAGGCCTAGCAAGAGCTGGACAACTTCTTGTAGCCAGGCGGGGAGTTCCCCTCCGAGCCAGCTGATACCAGAGCCCTTTCCTCTCGACAGAATAAGAATCACACAATGAGCCTACAAGCTGAGATTTCTCACTCACATTTCAGTGGAATTTTATTTATTAACTTTGGAGCAGAGTGTAATGCGGAAAAGCTGAACTGAGATCAATGGAGCTGAACCAATTTACAACAGCCAAGGATCTGCACTTTCTTGAAAATAACGATAACACCCATCGTGCTTTGCAAGCATTGTACAGACACTGACGCCCCCTTCCCCAGCCAGGCAGGTGTAATTCCCATTTCACAGACAGAGCAGTGAAGTGGTTTACCAGTGTCAACCTGCAGAGCTGGACCTAAAACAGAGTGAAAGCACAAGGATCCCAGGAGTACTGCACAGAGAGGGTGATATCTCCCTGTTTGGAGGGCTTACACCAATTTATTACTCCACTGGTTCACAGGGTGTGTAGACTCTGTATAGGAGTCGGCGGACAGGATACTGGTTTAGATGGAACTTTGGTCTGACCCAGTCTGGCCATTCTTATGTGAGCCACCACATCGGGGGTAGTGTCAGCCCATGAGGTCAGGGAGTGGGAAATCATAGAACACTAGAACTGGAAGAGACCTTGGGAGGTCATCGAGTCCAGTCCCCTGCCCCCATGGCAGGATCAAATAAGCCAACTGACCAGCAGTAGATGGCTTCCCTTTTATCAGAATGTTAACAAATCAGTAATTACTACAGAGAATTATTTCCCCAGGGATTGGTGAGTTTTGCTAAAATACTTATGATCTGACTGACCCCATGTTTGGGGATGGGAAGGAATTTTCAATGGCTCAGATTTGCAGAGATGTTGGGGGCTGAGTGGGCAAGGTTGCCTTCCTCTGCAGGATGGGGCATGGTTCACTTGCTGGTTTCACCTAGAGGAACTGGTGGATTCTCCATAACTTGATATCTTTAAATCATAATTGGGAGACTTTGGCAACTCAGTCACAGAGGGTATGTCTAGACAATATGCCTCTGTCAACAGGCATGTAAAATAGGCTACCCGACATAGTCAATGAAGCCAGGATTTAAATATCCCTGGCTTCATTAAAATAAAAATGGCTGCTGCGCTGTGCTGGCTCAGCTGATCATTGGTACAGCTCGTGAGTCAAGACGCGGATCGGTCGACAGGGAACGCCTTTGTCGACCATTCCTGTAAACCTCGTTTCACGAGGCATAAGGGAGTGGTCGACAAAGGCTTCCCTCGTTGACCGATCCGCGTCTTGACTCGCGCGCTGTGCCGATGATCAGCTGGGCTGGCACAGCGTGGCATCCTTTTTTATTTTAATGAAGCCGGGGATATTTAAATCCCGGCTTCATTGACTATGTCGGGTAGCCTATTTTACATGCCTGTTGACAGAGGCATATTGTCTAGACATATTCAGACTGTGGCTCTATTACAAGAGTGGATGGATGAGGCTCTGTGGGCGGCAACGTGCAGGACGTCAGACCAGATGAACGTGGTGGACCCTTCTGCTTTTAAAGTCTGAGTCAATGAGACCTGCCTTTTGATTTGCTCTCGAACTCCTGACCCCAGCTATGACCCATGTCTCTGACTGCCTACTGTTCTAACTACTAGGTATGACCGCCCAAGCTACGAGTCTAAGAGGGCTTTGTTTGGGGAGATGGTGCTGTTATGCTAACAAAAAAACCTCCTTCTGTGCGTGTGGGCTGAATCTTAGTTAGGAGGTTCTGCTGGCGCTGCTATGTCAACATAGGCTCTGGAGTGTAGATGTACCCTCAGCTTTCACGTAAAAAGTGTTTCAGGTCCTCAGGGCTGCTGAAAACATGACCTGAGTGTGTCCTCAAGGCTGAGAAAGCAAAGACACATAGAAAGACCCCAACTTGAATTATTTGTATAATTCTCTTTAATCTCGTTGTTTTCAGGCAGTCTCATGGTTTTTTGTCTCCTGATGTTGGTCCACCTGAGGTTTGCTCTGCTCCCAGGACAAAGAATTTTGCATTGACATAGCATCTTGGGGGCTAATTTTCATTTTTGCTATTCCAGAGGAGGCACCAGGAGACTACTGAGTTAGTAAATGGTTGTAAACCTTGTGGCTGATACAAAGTGGCATATAGACACAATCTTTTTATTCTTGGGTAAGGAACAGGTTTCTTTATACAACGAAATATATGGCCTATCAAGGTTGTTCCCCATTCTGGCACTTCAAGTGCAGAAGGTGGAGGCCTACAGGAGATTTTAAAAATACCTTGCCTCTACCTTCTGCTTAAAAACTCCCCAAGGTCAGAGATTCCCTGACCGGAGGTGGGATGCTGCCACCACCCATGTGCAAAACCTTTTTCTGAATCCAGGAAGACTCACTTGGGAACTTCGTCCCGTGGGGTATCCCAGTCCTTTTACCCTCCCTCAGGAGAGAGATTGAAAATGATGTGTCATTTCAAATAGCTGACATCTCAGTCATAGGCATATGTACACAGACCAGTGTTCCCTCTAAGCTACGCAGCAGCAGAGCTTCACAGGTGATTCATCCGCTCTGCCCAATCAGACAGCTCAGTGCATGGAGCCCTGAGCCTCTGACTGGGCAGGGCTGTTTAATCATCTGTGAAGCTGTGCTGCCCTGTAGCTTAGAGGACACAGGACTGAGATCATCCCCTTAAAAAAGTGATTTTATGAACAAAACCAAAAGGATATACTTGGTAAAGCATCCTTAGTTGTCAGGTGTTACAGAGTAACTGAGAAAACAGATTAAAACCCAGAGAATTGCTTCCTTGAGATTTAGCTTCAGTTACAGCGTATGGGGTAGAGGGCACAGGGACTCAACACAGAGCCCTGGTCTACACTAGGGTGTTATTTCAAAATAACTCCCCTTATTTCAAAACAACAAGTGGAGCATCCACACTACCATAGTCAACACAGCTACCCCTCTGATACTTAAGAGTTTGATTTACCAGAAGATCGACAGCGGCAATGTTAATCTTTTGTGCAGTGTAGACGTGCCTAGCAGCCTGCTGACCAGAGTTCCTGTCTCCCGCCTGCTCACACCTCTTGAGCAGCCCTGCTGGACTGCTTCCCTGCCCTTTGATCCTCCCAGCTGTTGTTAGCCTGCTAATCAGCAGTGATTGGCAATGCCTGGATTAGCCCTTTGGTTTCTGAGCTAGCGTATGGGCAGCTACACCCCATTACAGACTCCCTTCCTCAGCAGGAGCAGGTTCTGCAGGGGTTGTGGGATGGGATCCTGCTGCCCCACACATGCTTTCTTGGGGCAGAAAGCCCATTGTGGAGGTTCTACATCCCATCAAAGGCACTCTAAAATATTCAGCCCCTGCAGAGCTGCGGGCACCTGGTGACAGGATCAGATGGAGTGGAACTGATGTATCACCATGGCCTCCTGTCTCAAGAAAACAAGGGCATGTCAGAGACTTGGATGCCCTTAGGAATAAGGGAGAATTAATGGCAACTGGCACTATGGGATGGACTCATGTTTCTTTCTAGTGACTTCCAGTGCCAGATCCCCCTCCCCTCCCATTGTGGGAGGATCTCCTGCCTCCATTCCCTCCATCTCTCTATGACAGCTGTTCCTTAGCAGCTTCTCACTGTCAGATTTCTCTGTCTGAGGCTGTGTCTACACTATGGAGTTTTTTCCAGGATCCTGGACTGTCTCTGCTCTTCCACTTTTTTTGCGGAAGAGCAGATGTGCCCTTTCGGAAGCCGTGTCCTCCTCCTCCCATGAGGAACAAGGGCTCTTCCCAAATAGGAGGCTTTTCCGAAATTTGAAAAACTCAAAAAAAGGTAAATCATTTCCAATAAATCATTGTAGGGTAGGAATAGCCTGGGTTTTGGTGGCTGTGTTCTTCCATTCCCACTGGATTGCATCTCTGGCCCCAGAGAATTGCTATAGACTCCATACAGTGGATATATTATCCTTGGTGCCTAGGGAGAGGGGTTGATCCTAAATGGAATAGGAGAGAGACAGACTCATCCTCCAGCTGGGGTCAGTCTCAGAGGATTTGGTGAGTTTCAGCAGGGCTCTCTTTACCTCATGTGGAGAGTCTCAGATAGGAGGTGGATCATTTCTTTAGGGGACTGTCAGGGGATACACCCCTAACAGGGGTTGCAGCCCCCTTCTACAGGCCCATGTCTCAGTCCAGACCCTTCTCTCAGGGCATTTACAGTACCCAAAGTCCCCAAGAGTCTCAGCCCCTCTCTCAGGGCAAATATGGTATTCCCCAAATTAACAGCCAGTCCAGGCCCCTCTATCAGGGCATATATGGTACCTGCAGCCTAACTCTGGAAAAAGCCTCTCCTGGCCGGCACATTTGCCCTGGTTGCAGAAAGAGGTGGTAGGGGGACCCAGGCCCTCCCTCTCCACCAGGTCCCAGCCCAGGGCCCCGTAGGCAGGGGTTCTTACTCCTGCCTGCTCAGTGGGGAATCCAGCCAATACACACCAAGCAGAGTTTGCAAGTACTTGCCCTGGGCTGCTTCCTACCACTCAGGCTTCAGCTGTCACAGAAACACCATGGCTGCAGCCTGGACCCTCCTACTCTCAGACTGCTTCCTCCCTTGCCATGCTCCCTCAGCCTTTATATACTGGCTCTGCTGGGAGCATGCCCGGCGGGGCCCTCTCAGCCAGCTGGGCCTGGGCTACTCCCAGCCCTGCAGTGCCGGGCCTGCTCACCCCCTCACAGGGACTCATTGCCTGGCTTCTGTCAGTGTCACTTTTCTATTAGGTCCTATTTCCCAGCTGGGTTTCCTTACCTCTGGCGTAGCGGCAGTTTGTAGAGCTGGTAAATCTCCCTGGCCAGATGGCTGATGTTTTTGGCTGCGTCACTGATGGATAGTTGAGCTAAGCCACCAAGATCTCTAGTTTGGGGAACTGTGCTGAGTTCTAATGGAAGGGAAGGAGAGCGGGATCCATCAGCATTCTCCTCTCAGCTCCCAGTCTCCTCAGCATCAGGGGTCTTGCTCCCCCAAGTCCCTCCGCTGGTGACACTAAAGAGGAGGAACTTGAGTTAGACCCTGAGCTCTTTCTGCCCCTCAAGGGGTTCTAGAGCAATGGGATGTGGGCAAGGCTTTCCATGAAGACTTGCACCCCCAGCTGCTTCAGTGGGACAAGAAGGGATGCAAAGCCAGGCCCAGGATCACCCCTGAACCAGGAGAAGATGAACTTGATTCAGCCTATCTCATTCCCTGCTCTGACTCTGCCTTCCCAAGGGGAATACTGCTAATCTACAGCCCCTGCAGCTGTAGATACTATAGCCTGTCAGAGCCAGCCTGCTTATGCCTGGAGTCAAGAAGCAGGGTCAGAGGTCACTCACGCTAAATTCAAGAAGCAAGATGGCGAATCAGAACGGGGCTTTGCTGCTCCTTACGGTCGTGGTTCTCTCCTCAGACACTCTGGACCTTGATACACGAGGGGATCAGGATCAATAGACCCGTGTGCATGCTGTGCAAAGGAGCCCACCCTCATTGTCAGGACTGAGACATTTGCATGAAGCCGGCCGGCGCCATTTTTAAATGCCGGCTAGTTCGGACTCCGTGCCGCGCGGCTACACGTGGCACGGACTAGCTAGTTCGGATTAGGCTTCTAATCCGAACTAGCTGTACGCCCCATGGAACGAGGTGTACAGCTAGTTGGGATTAGAAGCCTAATCCGAACTAGCTAGGCCGTTTTTTTTCCGGCTTGGGGAAAAGCCGGAAAAGAGCGTCCAGACTGGCGCAATCCTCCGGAATAAAGCCCTATTCCGGAGGATCTCTTAGTCCTACTTTCAAGTAGGAAGCCTAATCCGAACTAGCTAGTCCGTGCCACGTGTAGCCGCACGGCACGGAGTCCGAACTAGCCGGCATTTAAAAATGGCGCCGGCCGGCTTCATGTAAATGAAGCCCGGGAAATTCAAATCCCGGGCTTCATTTGCAAGTGCGGATGACTACATTACCCCCGCTAGTTCGAACTAGCAGGGTAGTGTAGCCATACCCTCACTCCCACAACCAGCCAGGGCCCTGAATTAAAGTTCCATCTTCTTCCCCTGTCTGTAAAGGAGGAAGGGCCTAACATAGCACTGCCCTGGTCAAGGATGGCCCGCTTAGGTGCAGGCTAGGAGGACAGACTGGAAAATGGATTTCCATTCTCCCCTCTCCAGTCCCTCCCAGCCCCCTGCCCCCCTGACCAAGCTCACCTCCAAGATGTATCAGAGCCTGCCTATGTCTGGGGACTCTGCCAGCAGGTTCCCCAGCATGGCCTGCCTGAGGTCAGACAAGCCCTTGTGCAGAGCCTGCAAAGAAAGGGGCAGCCATGGGTCACAGCTAGGAAAATGGGAAAACTTCTCCCTGTCCATAGCCCCCATTCAGCCAATCAGCATTGAGACTCTGAGAAGGGGCGGACTGAGAGGGCTCACCAGATGTCCCAAAGGATGGCCCAGCTCACCTCTGGAAGAGATCAGCCTCAGAGCAATTCCAGTCCCACCTATTTGGAACAGCCTCCCACAAAGCCAGGAAGCGGGGAGCGGGGGGTGGGAGGAGATTGTCTCTGCCTTGTACCTCTGTCTTGCCTGGCTGATGTCAGGGTCTCTCTATGAAGTCACCACCACCCCTCCACTTTTTGCCAATAGGCCAAGGTCCTGCAACAGGTCTTTGTGATGTCACTGCCACATCCACCCCTCCCCTGCAAGGCTGGTGTCCTGACCCTGGGCAGCCGTTGGGACTCATTGACTGATCAGAATAAAATGCTCTCAAATGAGCTACAGACAACAATTGCTCAAAGTCATCATTCAGCAACTATTTCAGAAGAACTGGCAAGTTCGAGAATCAGGAACTGTGCAGAGACCATAATTGCAGAGAAGCAGCATGATCAATCACATACATGATGGTTTGTGACTTCTTAGTTTGGTCTTAAAAGAGAACAAAAGCACCTGAGTCTTTCCTGTCAACAGCTACCTGCGCAGCCAGTCAGCATCGACAGCTGGGAGGTGGAGGGGTCTTAGCAGATGTCAAAAAGGATGGCCCATGTCACCCATGGAGGGGATCAGCCTTCCAGCCCCACTTCTTTGTGAGGGCTCACACAGTGACAGCAAACATCACACACACAGACATATACACACACTCTCTCTCTCTCCTTGATGGAGGCAGGGAGGAATGGAAAAGGGGGAAAAGAAGCAAGAGAAGAAGAGAAAGAAAAAACTGCCAATGCTCCCAGTGATGCTAAAGGACAGAATCTTTGATAGGAAGTTAAATCTCGTTAGCCAAGTGATTTCTATGCCTAGAATTCAGCTGGTCCCAGATGGATCAGACCGAACAGGTTCCAAACCTCTCTGGGGCTGTTAACTTCTAAACAGGGGCTAGAAACTCAATAGTATGGAAGGAGAAAACTCCGATGAGGTTCCTCCCAGTGATCAAATACATTACTCCTAATCCACTCGAGCGCTGAGGTCAGAAGAAAATGGTCTGTTCTCTTGCAGGGTGCGGGCCATTTGGCTGGCTGAGCTCTGCTGTACATGTTGGTTCCTTTGTGGGTAATTTGAAGGCTGCCAAATTGGAAGAATTGGTTCGGGCAGAAGCAGGTGGCAAGGATTCCTAGTGCTAGATCTTTCCTTTTGGAAAGGCCTAAGACAAATAACAACCCTACATATAGTGGGGTCGCTGGCTGCCCACGGGGAGCACATTCCAACCTCAGGCATCTGACTTGGACAGAAGAGCTCTCCATGGGCTTTGCTTGAGGCACTGCTGTAATGGTTTGCTAGCCTGCAGGAAATATGCCTTTGGAAAGGATTTCTAGTTCGGCTGACAACAAATCTTCCGCCCACATGAGGACCCTTTTCACTTTACTGCTATTAATTTGCTGTTTGGCTGCTACAAAAATGTTCGAAAAGTTTCACGACATTCAGTCTGCAAACCTTCATCATAGCAGCTTGCCTATTTATTGCTACAGCAAGTCTCATATTCCTTCATGTTAGGTTTTTTGTTTGTTTGTTTGGTCTCGTATGGCACATTGCAGCAGAACTAAAAGTGAGCTAGCAACTGGAAATCTTTCAAAACTTATGCTTTGCCTTTAGCCAGCGCTGTGGACAGACTTGCCAGACCTCAGTGCAAGGTGGGAGGGGGCCTGGCTGCGTGCCCCCTTCAGGTAAATTGCAATGGACTTTGCAATTAATGACTCCTCATAATACTCTGAATAAGGGAATTGTTTTCCTATTTTGTAAAGAGGAAAATGAGGCACAAAGCAGTGAAAAAAATGACTTATTCCAAGTCATGGGTTGAGTTGTGAGTAAAGCCCAGGGCTCCTGACATTTGAAAGCCATTAGTGATAGACACCCCATAGAGGTTTATCTCTATATTTTTGGCATGGCAAACTAATGTATGAATGGCTAAAGTGGGATGTTATCGACTCTGTTGTATCTACTCCAGCTTACTAAGCATTGTAAAAAGAGGCTGGCTGCTGTTATTGCACCTGGTTTGTGTTTAGAATGATACCGCTGTTCAGGGAAGAGCTGAGCAGGGCAGTTAATTAATACTAGAAGACTTACCTGGCATTGCCCAGGTCTGGCCCAGGGGCTGAGAAGAGGCTGTGGAGACCTCTCACAGGCAGTTCTTGGTGGTGCTCTCTGGGCCTGGCCTGGGAGTAAGAGGGGGCTGTGCATGCTGGCTGGGTATGACCATGCTGGGTGGCCTGGCAGTCCTGGGGAGGGGGGCTGTGACTCCTCCAAAGGGAGGGAGAGGATAGAGGGGGTATGTGCTACCCAGCCTTGGTGTTGCTCCCAGGGAGGGGGGCACAAAAATGGGATCAGCGGGACTTTTCCCCCTGGTCTAGCACTGCAGCCGAAGGCTGGGGGGAGCAGTTGGCTCAGGGGGGCCATTTACCTGGGCAGGTGGCCAGCAAGATGGCAAGTCCTGTGCCCAGCTAGCCACTCCATTTCTGGTGCTTGCTGCCCCCAGGGGTCACTGTGCAGTATCACTGTCCTTCCAGTCAGCCCCCTCCCGTTCCATGTTATGGAAAACAATCCAGGCACATCCCATTTTCCTGGTACAATCAACCACTGACCTTGCCTAAATTAGAAAAGGAAGCAGGCACCAATTTCAAGGGTCCAGGGCTCTGTCTGCTACTGTTGCACTTGTAGCAGCAGTGGTGGCCGGGAGTCATAGAATCATAGAATCATAGGACTGGAAGGGACCTCGAGAGGTCATCGAGTCCAGCCCCCCGCCCTCAAGGCAGGACCAAGCTCCGTCTACACCATCCCTGACAGATGTCTATCTAACCTGTTCTTAAATATCTCCAGAGAGGGAGATTCCACCACCTCCCTTGGCAATTTATTCCAATATTTGACCACCCTGACAGGAATTTTTTCCTAATGTCCAATCTAAACCTCCCCTGCTGCACTTTAAGCCCATTACTCCATGTCCTGTCCTCAGAAACCAAGAGGAACAAATTTTCGCCTTCCTCCTTGTGACACCCTTTTAGATATTTGAAAACCACTATCATGTCCCCCCTTAATCTTCTTTTTTCCAAACTAAACAAGCCCAGTTCATGAAGCCTGGCTTCATAGGTCATGTTCTCTAGACCTTTAATCATTCTTGTCGCTCTTCTCTGTACCCTTTCCAATTTCTCCACATCTTTCTTGAAATGTGGCGCCCAGAACTGGACACAGTACTCCAGCTGAGGCCTAACTAGCGCAGAGTAGAGCGGCAGAATGACTTCACGAGTTTTGCTTACAACACACCTGTTGATACAACCTAGAATCATATTTGCTTTTTTTGCAACAGCATCACACTGTTGACTCATATTCAACTTGTGGTCCACTATGACCCCTAGATCCCTTTCCGCCATGCTCCTTCCTAGACAGTCGCTTCCCATCTTGTATGTATGGAACTGATTGTTCCTTCCTAAGTGGAGCACTCTGCATTTCTCCTTATTAAACCTCATCCTGTTTACCTCCGACCATTTCTCTAACTTGCTAAGGTCATTTTGAATTATGTCCCTATCCTCCAAAGAAGTTGCAACCCCACCCAGTTTGGTATCATCTGCAAACTTAATAAGAGTACTCTCTATCCCAATATCTACATCATTGATGAAGATATTGAACAGTACGGGTCCCAAAACAGACCCTTGAGGAACTCCACTTGTTATCCCTTTCCAGCAGGATTTAGAACCGTTAACAACAACTCTCTGACTACGGTTATCCAGCCAATTATGCACCCACCTTATCGTGGCCCTATCTAAGTTATATTTGCCTAGTTTATCAATAAGAATATCATGCGAGACCGTATCAAATGCCTTACTAAAGTCTAGGTATATGACATCCACCACTTCTCCGGACCTTTGAAATCGGTGGGCCCTGAGGCAATTGACCCCTTTGGCCCTCTCTTGGTGGGCCTGGAATAAGGAGAATAATTTATAATTCTCCTCTTTATAACAACCTTTGACATACTTGAAGGCTGTTATCCTACCTTCTCTTCTTCAGAATGAACTAATCAGGTTTTTTTCAATCTTCCCTCTTACACCATGCTTTCTAGACTGCTACTCTTTATTGTTGCTCTCCTCTGAACTTTTTCCAAGTCATCCATATCGGTCCTGAAGCATGGAGCCCAACACTAGACACGCTACCTCTGTTGAAGTGTGATCAGTGCTGAATAGAATGAAAAAAAACCAACCCTTTTCATTTTGTGTTTATAACCAGAGAGTTGACAGCCAGGCAGGCCACTGGACAAAGTGTGGGAGGCCCCAGCTCTGTTTTCCTGGAAGGGGCAGGGCATTGGGTGGAACGGGTGGGGCTAGGGCAACCAGCCCTCAACCCTGCCTGGAGCAGGCTGTACTGTGCCCCCAGCCCTTAGCGCTGCTTGGAGTTCTGGTGGCAATTTAAAGGGCCCTGGGCTCCCCCTGCCCCCTTTACTGCCCCCTATTGGTGGGCCTGCTTACAACACTGCTGCTAATACATTCCAGAATTACTGACATCTTCAATACAATTGCATGGTGATACTTAGGGGCTACGTCTAGACTGGCCCCTAATTCCGGAAAAGTCATGCAAAGCAGGTAAGTCAGAATAGGGAAATCCGTGGGGGATTTAAATATCCCCCGCGGGATTTAAATAAACATGTCCGCCGCTTTTTTTCTGGCTTGGGGAAAAGCCGGAAAAAAGCGTGTAGACTGGCGCGATCCTCCGGAATAAAGCCCTTTTCCGGAGGATCTCTTATTTCTACTTGAAAGCAGGAATAAGAGATCCTCCGGAAAAGGGCTTTATTCCAGAGGATCGCGCCAGTCTAGATGCTTTTTTCCGGCTTTTCCCCAAGCCGGAAAAAAAGCGGCGGACATGTTTATTTAAATCCCGCGGGGGATATTTAAATCCCCCGCGGATTT